GTAACGTATCTTGTTGCTGTCATTCTATGATAATGTTACGACCGAATCATTGTAACAAGGTGTGATTGATATAGTAACATCCTACAATAATATAACTGATTTATTCTCACAAAATTTGAGCAGACATACAGAGTAAACAAACAATGATCTCTAATCAGTGTCATAGGGTGATTTGATTAGGAGAGCTAGCTATGAGCCATGAGATTATGGGTTCTAGTTTTGAATTCACCAATTTATTTTAAATTTTTCTAGGTTAAGATGGTTTTCTTGAGAGCGAAAAAAATGTGAGAGGAAAGAGAGGAGCTCTGATATGAGAGAAGAGAAAAACGAGAGAGAAAAAAAGGAAGGGAAAGGAAGAGGAGGGCGCCGATATAGGGGATGTAGGAGGTAGATCAGGAGGAGAGGAGGGCCCCGGTCTAGGAGGTGGAGGGAGATCGGGAGGAGAGAGAGAGAGAGAGTAGCGAGTTGTGTTTTTCTTGGGTACTCGACCTCCTACAAGGGATACCGATGTCTGGATCTCTCCACTCGCCGCATCATCATTTCATGCCACGTCGTGTTTGACAGATCACAATTTCCCTTCGCGGCGACTCCCCCTGTTGCCTTGTCTTTTGACTTTTTGCTGCAGGGACTCCCTCCAGCGCTCGCTCCCTCATCAGAGGTTGAGCAACCGCGACCTCTCATGGTGGCTCTCTCCTCGGAGGTTGAGCAACCGCGACACCTTACGGTGGCTCCCTCCATGGAGGTTGAGCAACCGTACCTTCCCCTCTTCGGCCGACGCTTGCCGAACGACACCGTCACCACGGCAAGCGGCACACGATTGGCTAGGGCACCCTTGATCGGCGCTTCCTCAACCGGCGCTGCCCCGTCGACTAGTGCCACCTGAGCCGGCACCATCGTCTCACCCTTCCGCCATGTCTACACCCATCAGGCCACCATGACGGTATCGTCATCATCTTCAACCGATGTGGTTGCCACGGCTGTTGCTCCTCAACCGCATTCCATGGTGACGCGCTCCCAGACTGGCTCCCTACGGCCGGTTGACCGGGTGACCTACACGGCTACCCACGCTACTGCCTCTCCTGTTTCGGTCAACTATCGCAATGCGTTGGCTGATCCCAACTAGCGCACTGCCATGGCTGACGAGTACAAGGCGTTGGTCGACAACGGCACTTGGCGTCTTGTTCCTCGCCCCCCTGGGGCCAACATTGTTACAGGCAAGTGGATATTCACACACAAGTTCCACTCTGACGGCTCTCTTGCCCGTCACAAGGCCCGTTGGGTGGTCCGTGGTTACTCGCAGCAGCATGGCATCGACTACGACGAGACATTTAGCCCGGTTGTCAAGCCGGCCACAATACGGGTTGTTCTCAGCATCGTTGCATCCCGTGCTTGGCCAATTTATCAACTGGACGTGAAGAACGCATTTGTTCATGGTCACCTAAAGAAGACCGTGTAATGTCAGCAATCCTCCGGGTTTGTTGACCTTGCTGCCCCTGATGTTGTCTGTCTATTGCAGAAGTCCCTATATGGACTAAAGCAGGCTCCCCGTGCGTGGTACCAACGGTTTGCCACGTACATTCGATAGATGGGATTTATGCCTTGGGCGTCCGATACATCTCTCTTTGTATACAAAGATGGAGATCGTATTACCTATCTTTTGCTGTACATCAACGATATCATCCTCACTGCTTCGACCACATCACTACTTCAGCAGCTTACAGCACGCCTCCACTCCGAGTTCGCCATGACAGACCTTGGTGACCACTTCTTCCTCGGCATCTCCGTGACGCGCTCCTCTGCCGGCCTCTTACTCTCGCAACGCCAGTACGTTGTGGATCTTCTTCAGCGGACCGGCATGGCCGAGTGCCACTCTACCTCGACACCAGTCGACACTCGTGCCAAGCTCTCCGCCATAGACGGCATGCCCGTCGCCCACCCTTCGGAGTACAGGAGCATCGCTGGTGTTCTACAGTACCTCACGTTGACTCGACCGGATTTGGCATACGTCGTTCAGCAGGTCTGCCTCTTCATGCATGATCCGCGGAAGACTTGGTCAAGCGTATCCTCCGGTACGTTAAGGGAAATCTCTCCACTGGCCTCCACATCGGCTCCGACACGATTCAGACCCTGACGGCATACTCCGATGCGGATTTTCAGTCCAGTCTTTGCGTTTGTGATCCTCCCGCTGCGACTGCGGGCGGGTATTAGGATTATTTATTAGTCCTTAGGTTGTTTATCTTCTAGACCTTTGGTCTTATCTAACTTATAGCTTTTGGTGTAACTCACCACTAGCATTAAGTGTGACTCTTGGTCTTATGAACAATTAAGTGTAACTCAACTATATATATATATATATATATATATATATATATATATATGAGAATTCACCTCCACCCATTGTGAGAGGCATCCATTCCACTTTCTCTACAAGATCGATTCATAGTGATTCTTAGGCGCCGGCGTTGATCCATCCTTCGTCCAGCCAGGGCGTTTTTTTTAATTGCTGACATATATGTATGTATGTATAATATTTGTTAAAAAAAGAGTCCCTAAACATTCAATTAAAAAAAAGGAAAATCACCTTATTTTTAATTTACACATAATTTGTTAGAAATATTTCCTTAACAAATAATCGTCACAGAGATGAATTAAAGACTATATTGTATAAAGCTAACGAAAATTATCTAAGCAATACAGATGAAGAAAATTTGTGAAGAAACATTATTTTAAAGAATGGAAGTTGCCATACAGTTGATATTTTACTATTATAAATTTATCAAACGTACCTACGATAAGTGCACGTGTGAATGGGCGGGCTACCTTTTACTATTATAAATTTATCAAACGTAACCCACGATAAGTGCCCATGCGAATGGGCGGGCTACCTTCCTAGTTATTTAAATCCAGAATATATCAGCAGTCATAGTAATTAAAGTTCTCCATGGGGAAATCTTATAAAACAAAGATTGAAATACCAAACCACAGAATCTTCCAAATACCTCTATAGAAGCTAACCTGAATACAGGCAATTATCCTGAATCAGAACATGTAAGTTTGCTATTTTTTCTTCACAGAAAAAATAAAAGCAAGAATCTACAAGAACTAACCAAACCTTGCGAATATTATGCTTATACCTCTCCATAGTAGCAAGAATCTCCATGCACCTGGTAGCAAGATCATTCTTGGCAAAAACATGCACTAAAGCCACAAAGTTTCCGTGTAAAGGGTGCACCCCAGAACTTAACTCCCTTCTAAGAGATTGCATCTGTATTAAATAAATATATCATTAACATTTTATAAACCCTGTGAATGTATCTCATAGAATAAATATCTTTACATTTATTTATCAACTATACCGATTATCCATGAGAGCAAGAAAGTTCTGCAGAAATAGTAATTAAGCACTTGCTACAAAGTTAGAACATATCGGTCCTACCATAATCTTAGATCCATCACCAAAATAAAGGACATGACCACACTTAACTTACAGATGAGATTCCAAAACTAACACACATCCACATGTCAGGTTGCTTAATAGTACCTGTAACTATTCTGTCATTTCTTTTAAATTTGTCCATTTAGCATTTGATTAAAAAAATGGTTAGGGGTATTCACTAGAGGAAATGCACACCCAAGGTGATCCTAAGATTTGAATATTTTCACAGACCAAAACCAACAAAAGTAAACTATCATGGGATGAAAGGTCGGTAAGACAAAGTTCGGAAATGCCGGCGCTCGAGCGCTCGACGTGCGCACGCGTGTCGAGCGCCTCGCGCAGCCGCCGCCCACGCCCCCACCACGTGTCCCCACAACGCACGCCCGTTGTAACAGACGCCCGGATATAACGGAAACACCCTATAAGGAGATCGTTTCATTTTTTGTTACACTAATAATATTTCAGCTAGTGCATTCATGATGTTTCACTATGTATGGATCAAAAGTTGCAGTGGATTTTTGATATAGTTCAATAATTTCATCTTAATGGACACGTGGGTTGTTGATGTACACGGGGATTAAGTGTTGTAATGGCTTCAAATCGTTTGTTGCATACATTGAACTAAATTGTTTCATCTAGCGATCTTATCGTGTTTCACTTCTTTTAAGAATTGAAACATTCTTTCACTATTTATTGAAACACATTGTTCTTATAAGAAACAGCGTCCAATTTTTGGAAACCGTTGTTTCATACGTTGTAGTAAAATGTTTCATGAGGTGGTTTGTTGTCTTCCAGCTATTTAAAAGAATAAAACATTTTCGATCTACTTCCTGAAATAATTTCGATGTACTTAGCGAAACAACGCCAGATTTTTGAAGAAAAAAAAATTTTGGGCACCCAATTTGTGGGCTCGTCCCATAAACTTGGCCAATAATTGCCAAAAGTTCGATTCCGCATCACCCAGCACAGGCACAGAAAGTGGACACTCACATTCCACATTTCATCGAACATACCGACTACTCTAGTCGCAATGTGTATTGAAAATTCGAGAGGGGAGTGCACATACGGGTGAAAGCATAGCGGCGACCATGTCGTAGACGGTGCCCGCGACACCGGTGAAACCTGCAGCTCGCGCGCGCTCCTCGTACTGCTGCAGGTAGGCCAGGCGCGGGCCCTTCTCCACCACCCCCGCGACTGCCGAGCGGTCGCCTGCCCCACCCTCGGACCGCCGGCGCCGCTCGGCGAGAGAGAACGCGCGCGTGCTGGAGGAGGAGGAGGAGGTGGTGGTGGCGCGGGGGTAGCGTGCGGCGCCGGTGAGGGGAAAAACGGAGGAGGCGGAGGTGGAGGCGGAGGTGGAGGGGGTGGCCATCGTGGGCTCGTGGCCGGGGTTCTCCGGAAATGGGAGCAAAAGAGGGGTTTTTGGATAAGGATCTCGGCTTTTGAGTTTTGACGAGAAAATCAAAGCGCGTGTGGTTGGAATTTAGGGGGATTTTATTGGAATTAAATTAATTTCATTTTTTTGAAAAAAAAAATTTCAGGATATTGTATGTTGAGGATATCTGACCTGTGCAAGATCTTGCTCATCTCTATCCCATTTTTGGATTGCTTGCTGTAGATATTTGATAGCAGCAGGGTAAAATTTTCTCCGTAGCATGACTGCTCCAAGCTCAAAATACTCAGTAGCACTTGCATCACCACTTCTCACTTGTTCCTAGCAAAGATTTATGGTAGGTTTCAGTCCATCTGACAGATCACAGGTCAGAGATCAAAATTTTCAATTAAGAGGTCACCACATAGGACATGGCAGTAATATCCATTATGAAACAAGCAGCATCAACTATAAATTCATATCTACAAAGAAAAACTGTTTCAGTAACTCCTATGAACAAGTCTATCTATCTATACCTATACTAATTGGGCACTTTCTACAAGCTCTCACGTTAATCAGAAAAATCTAACCGTTTATTAAATAGATCGTGCTATAATAACTGTAGATCGTAAAATATATCTGAACTTAGTTAGTATCGTGGGCCATGGTAAGGCCCATCTAATAGGCGGGCAGATAGTAACGGGAGATCGATCAGATGCATCTATAGAAAGATTCTATCTGTGAGATGAGGCACGAAAAAAGATGGAACTCAAGAAAGCGATTTGAGATGCTCCAGGTTTGCCCTCATCCAGATCAATGACTATTTGGTATTTAAGTGCACATATGTAGATTTCTCATGCCATCGTCCAATCCTTTCGGTACAGGCTGCGGAGAAAACAAGCAGATGTGCATGTAGTTACGACTAATGCCTGATCATGTTAAATATTAATGGATTGATTAAGCAGAATAATCGCATGCGACAGCATCCAGGTGATGACCCTTGGTTGGTAATGGTTTCCTGTTAGTACGTGGAAAAGGAAATTTACAAGACACCATATGGCCATGTCCGACAGTTGAGTACGATACACCGAACAAGATTCATCTATGTCGCTGCATGCCCGCATCGATATGCAATATATAAAGGTATTGAATTCTTAATTTGATGTATTATGTATGTTCTATGGGGCCTATTCAAGAGATACAGCTGATTTTTTATTTTGATTGACATAATGGATCATATATGTCGAGCGAATGATTTGTTTTATCATAAGTGTGCTGTTCAGTTAATTAGGTCGATTAACATAACAAATTTCCATGGTCACTATAAAAATAGAGTTATTTAATATTAATTTTGAACAGAACATATACAGATCTATATTTTTCTATATACAAACTAGCAACTAATAATTAATTTTCCATATATCCTGTTTGTTTATCTATATGCATATATGTAAACCGTGGCTTATTGTTGATATTCATGTCATTGGATTTTTATCATTACACCCATGTTTTCTCTTAAACAATAGATTGCTAATAAAATAAATGCAGCCTATAGATCATATTGAGAATTTATGTTAAATAAAGCATACCTTCGGAAATCCTGAGGAGTATTCTTTATTTCATTTTTTTTACATTAAGCTTTGACGGCGAATAGAGTACAAGTTGATGCTTATTAATTACTAGGTTTGAAATATTGAATTAATCAAAACAATATATTGAAACTGCACCATGAGAAAAATATGCAGTGATTAATTCCTAATTTTAATATTATTTATTAAATAATGAAAATCATATAACTTACACTCCAAACCAAGCTATATACAACTCAGTACTTGCTAATTATGAATCGGAAAATATAAATCATGGAAAGTCTATAAAAGATGCTCCAAGCCAAGTACAACTCAATACTTATCAAGAAATAAATTCTAAATTAAGACTCCAACACAAAAATTAATAAGTGCAACTATATACTTATTAATTCCAAATTTGCAAATTATTAAACAAAAAATAGAAAATTACATAAGAAACATTAACTAGGGTGTGTGTGTGCGCGCGCGTGTGTGTGTATTAGTTTTTATTTTTTGGAACTATAATATAACTTTTTTACATATAACTTCCAACAAAACATGTTCCTATCATACTGACTGACCGTATATTATATTCATAATTTCTGTAAAATAAATGCCATAGGAGATGCCATGGATTATTTAGAATCAGTTTTTCCAAAAGTCACAATTAATAAATATATAGTTGTATCTATTTGGAATTTTGAACAGAAACTTTATTTTTAATTTTCAAATTTCAAAACTGATAATTACAAATTGTTTATGGCATGTACTCTTCATTCTATACGCTATAAGTTTGGAATTCATTGGACTCTTTATATATACTATAAATAATAATAACCCATGCAAGGCACGGGTTGGCAACTAGTAGCATCAATTATAGGAGGATCTTTCCCTACAATGACCTTGTGTTACCCTGATATGAGGATTTACACTCTATGTCTGCTGCACAAGATTATCAATACTAGTTGATTTCTTCCATTGCTCATTATGTACAAAAAACTTAACTATTGCACATTCAGAGCTCACTGTTATTCTGATAGGTTTTTAATATAAAATTGACCTGGTGGTACTACAGTTGGAAGTAGTGTTGGCAGCACATTTACCTGCAACTCTTTGGCAGAAAGATCAAGCTCTCTACGGACAAGAACTTGACGAATGACAAAAAATGTACCAGCTCCAAGAAGACCAAGTAGTATGAGAAGATAAGACAACTGAATTCCAAGCTCAAATAGCTCCCCAACCTCATAAACCATGTTTATATTTGTTCCTTCACTAGCCTGTGCTGTTTGTGCAAAACTTAACCATGCCATAGTGCAACATGGAAGTGTACCAAGTTGCAGCAGCGATTTGCTGCATCTCCTCATGCCAAAAGCTTCTGGTGAAAAGGCACATTGTACAGACATAAATCAGCAAAACAAAATTGTATCCAACTGGATGGCGACTAGATATTTATAGAGTTCTTTTTTTTTTAGAAAACAGGAGGGAGAAGAGGCCCCCAAGTTTCACTTATAGAAACTTATAAACATGCTCACAAGGTAATTTTATTGAAGTAGATAGTAGCCTAACCAATTTTGCCTTTTGTTTTATATATGGAAGATAGTAATTTTCAAACACAGCTCATAACATTTTATTTAACAAGATAATTTAACACCAAGAAGCCTAGGACTATACACAAGTTTATATTTTTAGTTAACTACATAAGCATCATTTTCCAACTTCTACCTTTTATTTCTCATATAATTCTAGCGAGTATATATGATCCGTGAGTACTTTTAAAAGATTACACAAGAGAAAGAGGAAGTCACATAGCAAGCACTGAACTATGGCGCAACAACACCAAAACCAAAAGGAAAGAAACCTAAGCTAAAGCAGATAAGCCACAAACTACAACCAAGTAGTATGATAAAGAACTCCATTATCCACGTGTTGAATATTATCAACCTTAAGAACGAGGACTGCTTATATGTGCAGTGCTTAATCTCTACACTTTAACTATGAAACCACATTCTCAGTGAAACAAGAAAATTATATTATTTAAATACACCGTTATGCCAAAATCCAAATAGTAAGGGCGTTATACTGGCACAATTACGTGGGAACACGGACATCTTATAGAAGGAACTAACCTTGTATTTTTGCTGGACGAAAAGTATCCGCTTCACTTTTGATGCTCTGCCTTCCTTAGCAATAAGGAAACAAATCTCCAATAAGATTTGGTTTGAAATTGGAACACAGTGGAAAAGGTACAATTGGATTTGAAAGATAGGTTAATGAAATGATCAACTTTATGTTTGTGAAAACACCCATACAAGTTCAACAAGTTCAAGAACATGCCTACACATGTTAAGTACCTAAGCAGGCTTACAGTTTCACTATACTATTCAAATGCAGAATAAATCAGAAGCCATAATAATTAAAGTTGTCCATGGGGAAATCTTATAAAACAAAGATTGAACTACCAAACCACAAAATCTCACAAATACCTTCGGAAGCTAACCCAAAGACAGGTAATTATCCTGAATCAGAACATGTAGGTTTGCTATTTTTTTCTTCGCAGGGAAAAAAAAAACACAAGATCTAGCCAAACCTTGCAAATACCATACTTATACCTCTCCATAGCTGCAAGAATCTCCATGCCCTTGGTAGTAAGATCATTCTTGGCAAAAACATGGACTAAAGCCACAAAGTTTTCGCGTAAAGGGTGCATCCCAGAACTTAGCTCTCTTCTAAGAGATTGCATCTGTATTAAATAAATATAACATTAACATTTCATAAACCCTGTGAATGTATCTCGTAGAATAAATATCTTTACATTAGCTTCTCAATTATACTGATTATACATGAGAGGAAAGAAAGTTCTGCAGAAATAGTAATTAAGCACTTGCTACAAAGTTACATATTGGGCCTACCATAATCTTAGATCCATCACCAAAATAAAGGACATGACCAAACACACTTAACTTACTGCAGATGTGATTCCAGAACTAACACGCATCCACATGACAGGTTGTTTAATATCTGTAACAGTTCTGTCATTTCTTTTTTTGGACGTAAGAAAATATTTTTTTGACGTAAGTTCTGTCATTTCTTTTAAATATGCCCATTTAGCATTTGACTAAAAAATGTTTAGGGGCATTCACTAGAGGAGATGCACACCCAAGGTGTTGAACATTTACACGCACCAAAACTAACAGAAATAGATTATCTATCATGGGATCACAGCTCGGGAAGATAAATTAGACCAACAATTACCAAAACGCTCAATCCCGCATCACCCAGCAAACACACACACCGAGTGGACACTCGCATTTCACGTTTCATCAAACACGCGGACTTCGTTAATCGGACAATGCGCACAACGTGATGAGGTGAACTAGTGAAGAATCAATGAAAGAAAAATTCAAGAGGGGGATTGCACATACGGCTCCTTCTGCATTGCCGGAGAGAACGAGACCGTGGAAGGAACGGGGGCCGGGTGAGCGGCCAGCGGCTACCGAGCGGTCGCCGCCTCCCACCTCGGATAGCCGGCACCGCGGAGTGCGGCGCCGCTCAGCGAGGGCGAAAGCGCGCGTGCTGGAGAAGGCAGAGACGCGGAGGAAACGCGCGGCGGCGGTGAGGGGAAAGGCGGAGGAGGCCGGCGCTGGGGCGGGGGCGGGGCCGGAGGCGGAGGTGGAGGGGGTGGCCATCGTGGCCAGAGTCACACCGGAAATGGGAGCGAGAGGGGTTTTGGGATAAGGATAGCTCGGCTTTTGAGGATAAAACGCCCCATTCTCAAAAGTGTGGGTTTCGAATATTTTAGAGGAACTAGTAACGAACTAACGATACCGTAGGTTGCGTAAAGATTTTTTCAATGATATCACATGTAGTATTAGGAGTTGAGTAATAAACTAATACATTAGGATCGCTATATACTTTATAATTAAAAAAGTTACTATACTTTATAATTACAAAAGTTAATAAAAAATATTTTTTTTGGCCAAAACCTTTATTCTTTTTAGTCTCAACCTAGTCCACTACCTCTCTTTCTTTGCTCGGTTTGTCTCTATTCAGCTCAGCACGTAAGTAGAGTTGCATGTTCAACTCGCACAGTCTATTACCGTCTTCAACATCTGGAAGTTTATTGTTGTCTTCAACATCCAAAGGTAGTTCTCGTACAATGCTGGAGCCAATCCTCCCTATCAAATTCGGCCGAATCTTTTTCAATCTTCCAAAGTTAGCTTGAGAGTTTTTGTCCACTCGATCTCATCTTCCATTTTTCTCGAAATCGGAACGAATCAAACTAGTCGACCGGCCATCATCGGTGATTGTTAATTAAATTCAGCTAATTAAAACTGAAAGGGGAAATCATGGGGAAAATAATGATAGGGAAGTGGGGAATAGATTTTTGCAATCAATTAGGCTGAGTTCTTTTCCTCACTTTCCCAACTCATCTCTCTCGTTTTCGGCGGGCACACTACTCAAACGGTTAAACAATGTGTTTTTTTTTCAAAAAAATTATACACGAAAGTTGCTTTAAAAAATTACATTAATCCATTTTTCAAAAAATTAGCTAATACTTAATTAATCATGCGTTAATACATACTCTCTCCGTCCCAAAATATAACAACTTTTAGCCCTCAGAATTTGTCGCAAAATATAACAACCTTTTCACCAACATTATCTTCCCAACCAATCACAACTCTTCACCATTCACTTTTCCCACCTACCTCCACTACTCATCCAATCACAACCTCCACCACTCACTTCTACCTACTTTCTTAATAACCGTGTCCAACCCTAAAACTTCTTATATTCTGAGACGGAGGGAGTACATCGTTTTGTGTGCCGGCAGGGATGGCAATGGAGACTCGAACCTCGATGGGAATTACTCTATTACAATATGTAAATGGGCTAAAACGATCTATGCACTGTGCCAACTTTTTTTTGCACTTCAAAAACCTCAAAGGTGTCGGTACTGTTGACGGTCGTTATAGACCAATTTTGACAGTCAATATAACTAAAATAAAGGAGAACTAGTTATGCTTATAATGCATATTTATTTTAGAATAATATATTTCCACTTGTATTTGAAGTATTATTTGTTTGCAGAGATTAATGAATAAATAAAGAAGTAATGAAGGGAAACTTCACTCCTAAGCAAGCTTAAGGATAGAGGGGCCCACATGTTAGGTGTAAACGTCATGAAAACCGTTATAATTGCCACAACCGCAATGAGGACCCACCTGTCAGCCCCCTAACCAAAGCTGGAGGCCTGGGCTGGCCTAGGTTCGGTCGAACCATGCTGAACCCTGGCAGCGATGGCTCAACTCGGCCTCCACGTGGACGCTCCAGATGCACTCCCAATGACGGTTGCGGGGCATTTCCGATAATTCCAACCGCTATAACCGTCATTAGGAGGCTATATAAAGGGGTCACTTCATTCACTTCAACACACACTCAAGCAAGACTTGATCTCTCTCTCAACTTTAGTTTAGTGCTCTTGTGCTAAGTGGAGTAGTATATAATAGCTTTCGGAGTCCTCGAGTCTTCGGGGGGAATTCGGGTATGGCTCTAGTAGTTTTTATTTCCTCTTTTGTAAGACTTTCGAAAATAACAGAATATTTTCTTTATATATTCTCGGTACTTTACTTTTTCTGAGTATCGGTTTTACTTTATATCTATGTCGTTATAATTGTGTGGTTAGCCTACCAGAGAGAGGTGCAGTGGTGTGGGTTTAATGTCCGATTATTCGGTTGCTCTATGTCATCCATGGGGATATAGAGTAGTATTTAATAATGTGGGCGTGGTGTTTAGATTATTAAATATCATTATTTGGACATATATGCTGCGGGATAGTAGAGGTGAGCCACTGATGGTGATAGCTCAGTACGGGTATTCCTTCATGTTAATATGTATTCCGAAGACAATTCCCTGGGGAGTGTACTTCTCCGTATTTAGCCCCGGGTGGACGGCCATGACAGGTTGTCGTAAGAAAGTCAGCAACCCGGGGTGGTCTCTCGAAACACCAGAAATGCACTGTTAGGGGGCCGCACAATTGTATACTAGTAGATGTAGATTAGAATTGAGTGTATATTAGAAGTATAGAAATTGATTGCTTTTCTATTTCTTCTTCCACATAGCCTAGGATTTATGAATGAGAGAATCAATGTTCTTCTGTTTCGTGTCACTCTACCCATATATATGATTTAACCCCAGCTTAGACGTAAAGTATATAAATTGTTAGCATAGTTCTCTCTTATAAATCTTCCCTTGAGATTAAATAAATACGATACCTTGGAATACTTCCGGGTGAAATGCTAAAATGGTATATCCGTGCGCTTGCAGATTACTTCTGTGACCATAAATATACCAAGGCTATTTCTGTGCTATTGCTGGAATTCATATTTCTAGTAATATCGTTAAGAAATACCATCAGGTAATCAAATGTGTCATCACCGAATTGTCCATCGAGTTCTTAGCCTCTCCCTATTTCTGCTGCTATGTAGCACTGTTCGAGGTGGACACCACAGAGAGCGTGGTGGAGTCTTGACGTGGATAGCCCGAATGACAACTGTATGCATTGTGAGCGCCCTAAGGGCATTCACAGTGCAAGCTACTCAAAAGGAGGAACCTCAGGCTAAGCTCACACCTCTCCCACAGTGCAAAGTTGCTTCAAGAGTTATCTTAGTTTTTCATGTCAGCCCTTGTCATCTTTTATTTTAGTTCTCACATGTTTTCAAACTACATAACATATAAAATTTAGACTAAACACCCTAAAATCTAGAAAGTAGTATAAAATTTCTCCTTATCCCTAAATCTCTCCGTCCCCAGGCCACCACAACTGCACAACGCAGGCCGGCAGCTTCCCGACCTCCTCCCAACCGGCGGCTCAGAGGGCGGCGCGAGAGCTCGCCGGGGTACCTCCTCTCCCGGCCAGCGACGAGGGCGACGGCGGAGGCACGAGAGTTCACCGGCCTCTCCTCAGAGGGCGACGGCGGCGGCGCGAGAGCTCAACGACGAGTTCGGCGGCGCGCAAGCGGTGGAGGGGGGACGACGACAGATCCATGGTGCCCCTCCTCTCCCGGCTAGCGGCGGTGGGCAAGGAGGCTGGGGACGCGGCGCCGCGGCGGCGGATTGAGAATGCCGAGGCGGTGTCTCGACGACGAATCCGGCGACGGTGCCGTGGAGGCTGGGGACGCAGCGATGCAGCGACGGATCGAGGAGGCCAAGGTGGTGTCTCGACGACGATTCCGGCGACGGTGCCGTGGAGGCTGGGGACGCGGCGACTGTGTCCTCGGTCTTGTCTCCACGGCGCGGGAGCGGAGGACGGCGACGAACTCGGCGGCACGGAAGCATGGGATGGCGACGAGCTCGGCGAACCGGAGCGGGAGATGACAACGAGCTCGGCGGCGAGCTTGGCACCACGGATCTGGCAAGCTGCTAGTCCTCTCCTCGCTCTTTCCTCCCTCGCCATCGCCGTGACCCGACCTGCCCTCTGCCATTATTTCCTATTCTTCGGTTTCTCCCCTTCCTCGTCGGCACTTGGTAGTGTCGCCGGCGAGCTCCAAGCCCACTCGGATGTTGGCATGGTGGCGGGTTGGCGGGGAAGAAGAGAAGAATGGGGAAGATTTGAGAGTAGCAGCGGGGACCGCTTCCATTTTCCTTTTCGGGCGTGAGGAACTCGGCACCTAACTGGGAGACACAAACCTTGCTAGGGGACGAGACCCACCTCTTTTTCTCCTCTACATCAGCGAGGTAACGCGCCAGCTAGATGCATTGCGAGAGGCCTAAGACGGCGCCACACGCAGGCGTGGTCACGGGTGGAGAGGATCCCGACAAAGGCAACCCGGTGGAGACTTTCCTGGAGGATGATGGCGGCTTCAGGCTAGGTAGGGCGGGCGGCATGGCAGGAAGGAGGTGACGGTGAATCGGTGACGGCACTAGGGCGAGCAAGCATGGAGGGCAGAGGGGGCGGCGATGAGAAGGATGGGAGTATGGCCGTGTGGGACTGACGTGGGTAGCGATAATTGTCCCTAGATGGAAAGGAATTGTTCAGGATGGAATGGGTCCGGGGACGTGGAGGCCATTTGACCATTCGATGCGATTGATTTGGGTTGTCGGATTTAACGAATAAGGTTTGTAGGACTGTAGTTGGTAAACCATAGCGTAGATATAGAAGAAACACACCCAATGTTAGTAATTTTTTTGTTGACCGTGATCATCACAAATCCCCCTTTTAAACCTATGGGCAAAATTTTTAATACTACTATCAGGTATTTGAGAATATATAACACGTAGTAAAAAATTTACTACTATATGTGAGGGATGCATTTTAGCGCATCCCATTCAATTAGTATCCACTTAAATTTGGAACTAAATCCTACCTAAAAGATAGGATTGGTTTCTCAGCTTGAAGACATAAATGGATCATATATTACTTTATACTACTACATCAAATATCACGATATCATTATTTGAGCCAATAAAATCCAGATATTTGGCTCGTGGTTAAAGAAAAAAAAAACCCAGTATAGATTTTACTCTCACAGATGGCCCTTATAATCAACATTGCGATTCAAAGGATCATTTACATATTTTCTTAACCTCACCAGTACATACAAATAGAAGGATCAGGATCGACATTGGGAAGATGTATATACGTACAAATTGAAGTCGTGTCACACATCTCAAAACAAAACAGATCAGTAAAATCCATGTTTCCGACATTTACCATTGAACCACACCAGTTGGAGCACCTGAAACGAAGAAAACCAACAGGAAAAATCAGCACGATATATGTCACACCTCGCCACCTCCCTCATACTCTTGCCTCGATTTTGAAGGAATCGACGACTGTATGTAGCCTATCCTTGATTTTCTCCCATCTCCTTTCATTTGCTCCAGTTGTCAACGTGTAAAATTTGCCTGCAAAGTCCAAATCAAATCCACAATGAAAATACAATAGATAACAGTGACTAGCACAGCATTACGCAGTCTTTATGGATGCAAGAGTAGAAACAAAATAAGCCGATGGAAATATGTCAACAGCAGACAATACTTTTAGCAGAACATCTTGCTGAGAGAAAAAAGATGTCTGGTAGGAGTCAATACCATTTGCAATGGCAATTGCACCAAGCGCATGCCTGGTGAAATTTGGAGCTTGAGCTGTGAACTCAAAAGTGTAGTAAGTTCTTCCGTCAACGTCATTCTGTGCAATGAGACAGATCTTATGAGTTTAATAATCAAGGAGTAATAGATATTTCCCTTTGCAAAAGGGAACATGGAGAATAGTCAACAAGTTGTCATTTGATTCCTATAACCCAGAGAGAAGTACTAGATAGCCTGCAATTTTTTATGAAGGTTTGACATTACAATGTGTTTATTTTTCTCTAGGTGATATGTATACTAGCGAAGTGTTACAACTTTTAGAATATGGAATAAAAAGATCACTTCAAAAACAACAAAAAAGGACAACACAATGCAGCAAATGCATATCATTTAGGGATAAGAAATAACCTTTTTGATCTTAGATTAAGGTCCGGTATATATACATACAAATAAAATAACCTGCAATGCTACGGGATGATAAAATAGATTGCTGCAAAAGTAGGCAGATGCAGTTTCATTTCAACTGGAAATAACATAAGAGATAATAAAGGGGTGTCAAACAAAAATACATTTATGGCATTCTCATATTCTGTGTATTTGTGTTTTATGATAAATGTAGATATGATCACTTTTACTCCACATTAGTACTACTTCACATGGCAATTTCAATAAATGGTGGCTGATAGCCTGTTGGCTCTACTTACTAGAAATACATAAGTTGGACAATTCAACATGAATGAGGTGGATTAGAAATTCTGAATTGCATTATTGCGTGACATCTTGCACGAACAATTGGATAAAAAAGGCACCTCTTTTGCTTCAATTAACTTTGTCTTTTGCGTAGGTGCGGCAAGAACCTTTCGTATAAGAGCTTCAGCAACCTAAATACAAATCATGGTGGATAAGATTTTGCACCTTCTCACCATACAACTGCAGAGACATGACCAAATGTTTGACGAAAAGAAGAAAAAAAAATAAACCTGATCTGGAGGACCAAGTTCACGGATGTCTTGCTTGCTGGTTGGAATTGTGTTGACGCTCACACTTTCCAAAGGCTCTATGACATCTTTGTAAACCTTATCTTGCCCTTGAACAACCACTTCCTGGATAAGTACAAACTCACAATGAAATGAAGGAATCGAAATGCAACCTTACATCATGCGAACCTTTAGCAATGATGGTTTATTACCTGCCATCCAAATGGGTAGAGGAAGGAGTATCCATCCTTCTTGTCGGTTACAGGTAAGAACCCTTTCTTAGCCTCTGCTGCGTCTATACCACATCAGAATGGCACTCAGGCACATGGTATTGACCAAACAAACCATTCACAAGTCTGAGTGCTACTACAGTCAAGTATTATCACACTTGTACCACTCTACACTAATATATTAATATGGAAGGACAACTCACTTGCTGCCAGATTAGGCCAAGAAAGAAACACAGCAGCCCCTGCAGCTAGCAACATCCTCCGCCTAGAGCTCTCTAGTTCTCTCTTGATGCTTTGCCTTCCTTAGCAATAAGGAAACAAATCCCAAATAAGATTGGGTTTGAAATTGAAAACGGTGAAAAAGTTACAATTGGATTTGAAAAGATAGATGAATGAATCATGTTTATGAAAACACCCATGCAAGTCCAAGAACATGCCTACACGTGTATGGTACCTAAGCAGGCTTATAGTTTCATTATATCTATCTATTATATACTAAAAGTCTATTAAACTTGCTACAAACGCTCCTAAGCCGCCACGTGGCACCCCTACAAACGCTCATGTGATGCCACGTGGCAAACAAAACACCTAACCGTCAAATTTCAATTAATTTGGTGGACCTATCATTAATTTTTATTTTTAGCCATTAGAAAAAATCCTTAAAAGGAAAAACAAATCCCATCTACCTCCACCTCCCTCCCCCTACGTCCCCGTAAGTACATACCCCACAGTCACATACGTACATGACTGTACGCACATCTCCCCTCTGTCTCGCCCCTTCTCACATCTTCCTATTTAAATAGCTAGCAATTGAATGTAAATATTGCCTAAAAAATTCAATGGAAAATATAATGAGTTAAATAACCATAATGTCTAAGCAATATTTTCAGTTTTTAATTTATTGTAATTATATTGTTATTTATAATAAACCGATAATTTAAGATCAATATTGCTCATATTTTACCATGTACAAAAATATGTGGTCAGACATAGACCTTGTCCTTTTCACCGAACCAAATAATAAAAAAGCATTATAAAAACTTCGTAACAAATATTATATCATTGTAAATAATTTTATAAAATTAAATTGGATCGATAGCATCAAAGCTAAAGAAAATTATAAATTCAACCGTGAACAAATTCAACATAAAAGAATAATTTATTTACTATGTTTTGCATGCAATATGAATTTTCATAAAAAATGTGACATAATTTCACATTAATAGGCTATAAACATGTTAAAATAATTTCACATTATATCACTTGGCAAATAAACACGCTAATTTGAATCTATAAACGTAAAAATGAACTAACTTAGTTGTGATTTTCTTTCAAGTAGGTATGATTCAAATTTTAATATGTGTGAGATTAACATTCTCAAACCATTTCAGGGTTTTTTGAGGTCATCTCCATCGCCTGTTGGCATATCTGGAAGCAGAGGAATGCTCTTATCTTCAGAAATATCTCTCCTTTGGTCCAAAACTGGCTTAGGTCTTTTAAGGAAGAAATTCTCCTGCATTTTTGTAGGATGAATGGTGCTCTTTTAAATTCGGTTTCTTCCTGGTTACAAACTTTGTAATATCTGGGACTGTGGACTCTTCATGTATTCTTTTGTAATTTTGCTTTTGCTTTAATAAATTAAAACTACTGGGCGGCGCCTAGTAGTATTTTGGATAAAAAAGAACATTCTCAAACCATTTCGAGTTTCTTTTCAAAACTATTTAGTATCTATTTGAGGTGTAGGAATCATAAATGGCACATAGATATGAAAACAAATCACCAAAAATATTTTCAACCAATGATCTTGCTACGGTGCAAATACCCATTAATCCATGGCAAGAATTTTGGCTATACATTTAGGTTTTTTACTTTGCTATTTAAAAATACCCATTAATCCTTGGCAAGACTTTTGGCCATTTTATTTTGCTAATTAATTTTTTGCCACAATTGAACAATATAACGACATACTATATGCATCAAGTACTCATCATTATATTTTCTTGATGGATCTATGTCATGCATCCCACTAGCCCGATTGTAACTACGGAGCGTCATACATTAAAATACGGAATACGGAAGGAGTACATAGTAGCAAGCTAAGTACAAGTGAACTTTTAGAATTCTAATCTTTAAACAATAATATTTCACATCACATATTATATTTTTGAACCATTTTCACCATAGTGCTTTAAAAAAAGAGCTCTACAAAACTAGATCCATCATCACTATATTTTAATGACATTATAACGACGTTATTGCAAGACAATAGTCATGTTACTACACGATGATTTTTCGATTACTGCGCAATACCTGCGATACAAAGACAACAAAGAGGTGGATGTGGGGAAGTGAGTAGGCGGGTTTGACCGGGGTCTGACCGATGGGAGGACGCTTTAACCGCCCTTGGACCAAGGTGGGAGGTGGGGTTGATCCATGGGAGGGGGGGTGTAGAATAGTTATATCCTATTCTACACCCCCCCCCTTCTCTCATGGGCCAACCCCCACCTTCCGCACCCTTGCTAAAGCCCAAAACCCACCTCCCACCTCGGTCAAAGCCTGCTCCCGCCGGTCAGACCTCGGTCAAACCCGCCCACTAACTCCCCCCCACACACACACCTCTTTACGTCCTCGTCTCGTAAGAATTGCGCAGTAACAGGACGACCATCATGCAGTAAAACGACTACTTTGTTGCAGTAACAACATCAAAAAATAGCCATGATGAATCTAGTTTTGTTAAGTGCTATTTTACGAACATTACGGTGACGACAGATTAGAAAAACAATATATAACGTGAGAGATATTGTGCTCTAAAGATTGAGATTTACACATTTTTTAGTTCTCGTCTTGCTGGAACGGCGTAGTAACACGACAGTCAATGTGTAGTAACACGACTACTTTCGCAGTAATGACGTTACAAAATAGTCATGATGGATCTAGTTTTGTTAAGCACTTTTTAAATAACGTCATGGTGCAAATGGATTAGAAAAACAAGATATGATGTGAGAGATATTGCTCTCTAAAGATTGAAATTTAAATGGTTTGAGCTCTACACAAGCATTTCTATTTGTAGCACCACTGTTACTGTTACACGCTCTCTGCTACTGCAATTTTCATCATGTGTTACTGCAGAAAGTGCAATAACGACCTACAATTTTTGCAGTAACGTATCTTGTTGCTGTCATTCTATGATAATGTTACGACCGAATCATTGTAACAAGGTGTGATTGATATAGTAACATCCTACAATAATATAACTGATTTATTCTCACAAAATTTGAGCAGACATACAGAGTAAACAAACAATGATCTCTAATCATAGTGTCATAGGGTGATTTGATTAGGAGAGCTAGCTATGAGCCATGAGATTATGGGTTCTAGTTTTGAATTCACCAATTTATTTTAAATTTTTCTAGGTTAAGATGGTTTTCTTGAGAGCGAAAAAAATGTGAGAGGAAAGAGAGGAGCTCTGATATGAGAGAAGAGAAAAACGAGAGAGAAAAAAAGGAAGGGAAAGGAAGAGGAGGGCGCCGATATAGGGGATGTAGGAGGTAGATCAGGAGGAGAGGAGGGCCCCGGTCTAGGAGGTGGAGGGAGATCGGGAGGAGAGAGAGAGAGAGAGTAGCGAGTTGTGTTTTTCTTGGGTACTCGACCTCCTACAAGGGATACCGATGTCTGGATCTCTCCACTCGCCGCATCATCATTTCATGCCACGTCGTGTTTGACAGATCACAATTTCCCTTCGCGGCGACTCCCCCTGTTGCCTTGTCTTTTGACTTTTTGCTGCAGGGACTCCCTCCAGCGCTCGCTCCCTCATCAGAGGTTGAGCAACCGCGACCTCTCATGGTGGCTCTCTCCTCGGAGGTTGAGCAACCGCGACACCTTACGGTGGCTCCCTCCATGGAGGTTGAGCAACCGTACCTTCCCCTCTTCGGCCGACGCTTGCCGAACGACACCGTCACCACGGCAAGCGGCACACGATTGGCTAGGGCACCCTTGATCGGCGCTTCCTCAACCGGCGCTACCCCGTCGACTAGTGCCACCCGAGCCGGCACCATCGTCTCACCCTTCCGCCATGTCTACACCCATCAGGCCACCATGACGGTATCGTCATCATCTTCAACCGATGTGGTTGCCACGGCTGTTGCTCCTCAACCGCATTCCATGGTGACGCGCTCCCAGACTGGCTCCCTACGGCCGGTTGACCGGGTGACCTACACGGCTACCCACGCTACTGCCTCTCCTGTTCCCGTCAACTATCGAAATGCGTTGGCTGATCCCAACTAGCGCACTGCCATGGCTGACGAGTACAAGGCGTTGGTCGACAACGGCACTTGGCGTCTTGTTCCTCGCCCCCCTGGGGCCAACATTGTTACAGGCAAGTGGATATTCACACACAAGTTCCACTCTGACGGCTCTCTTGCCCGTCACAAGGCCCGTTGGGTGGTCCGTGGTTACTCGCAGCAGCATGGCATCGACTACGACGAGACATTTAGCCCGGTTGTCAAGCCGGCCACAATACGGGTTGTTCTCAGCATCGTTGCATCCCGTGCTTGGCCAATTTATCAACTGGACGTGAAGAACGCATTTGTTCATGGTCACCTAAAGAAGACCGTGTAATGTCAGCAATCCTCCGGGTTTGTTGACCTTGCTGCCCCTGATGTTGTCTGTCTATTGCAGAAGTCCCTATATGGACTAAAGCAGGCTCCCCGTGCGTGGTACCAACGGTTTGCCACGTACATTCGATAGATGGGATTTATGCCTTGGGCGTCCGATACATCTCTCTTTGTATACAAAGATGGAGATCGTATTACCTATCTTTTGCTGTACATCAACGATATCATCCTCACTGCTTCGACCACATCACTACTTCAGCAGCTTACAGCACGCCTCCACTCCGAGTTCGCCATGACAGACCTTGGTGACCTCCACTTCTTCCTCGGCATCTCCGTGACGCGCTCCTCTGCCGGCCTCTTACTCTCGCAACGCCAGTACGTTGTGGATCTTCTTCAGCGGACCGGCATGGCCGAGTGCCACTCTACCTCGACACCAGTCGACACTCGTGCCAAGCTCTCCGCCATAGACGGCATGCCCGTCGCCCACCCTTCGGAGTACAGGAGCATCGCTGGTGTTCTACAGTACCTCACGTTGACTCGACCGGATTTGGCATACGTCGTTCAGCAGGTCTGCCTCTTCATGCATGATCAGCGGAAGACTTGGTCAAGCGTATCCTCCGGTACGTTAAGGGAAATCTCTCCACTGGCCTCCACATCGGCTTCGACACGATTCAGACCCTGACGGCATACTCCGATGCGGATTTTCAGTCCAGTCTTTGCGTTTGTGATCCTCCCGCTGCGACTGCGGGCGGGTATTAGGATTATTTATTAGTCCTTAGGTTGTTTATCTTCTAGACCTTTGGTCTTATCTAACTTATAGCTTTTGGTGTAACTCACCACTAGCATTAAGTGTGACTCTTGGTCTTATGAACAATTAAGTGTAACTCAACTATATATATATATATGAGAATTCACCTCCACCCATTGTGAGAGGCATCCATTCCACTTTCTCTACAAGATCGATTCATAGTGATTCTTAGGCGCCGGCGTTGATCCATCCTTCGTCCAGCCAGGGCGTTTTTTTTAATTGCTGACATATATGTATGTATGTATAATATTTGTTAAAAAAAGAGTCCCTAAACATTCAATTAAAAAAAAGGAAAATCACCTTATTTTTAATTTACACATAATTTGTTAGAAATATTTCCTTAACAAATAATCGTCACAGAGATGAATTAAAGACTATATTGTATAAAGCTAACGAAAATTATCTAAGCAATACAGATGAAGAAAATTTGTGAAGAAACATTATTTTAAAGAATGGAAGTTGCCATACAGTTGATATTTTACTATTATAAATTTATCAAACGTACCTACGATAAGTGCACGTGTGAATGGGCGGGCTACCTTTTACTATTATAAATTTATCAAACGTAACCCACGATAAGTGCCCATGCGAATGGGCGGGCTACCTTCCTAGTTATTTAAATCCAGAATATATCAGCAGTCATAGTAATTAAAGTTCTCCATGGGGAAATCTTATAAAACAAAGATTGAAATACCAAACCACAGAATCTTCCAAATACCTCTATAGAAGCTAACCTGAATACAGGCAATTATCCTGAATCAGAACATGTAAGTTTGCTATTTTTTCTTCACAGAAAAAATAAAAGCAAGAATCTACAAGAACTAACCAAACCTTGCGAATATTATGCTTATACCTCTCCATAGTAGCAAGAATCTCCATGCACCTGGTAGCAAGATCATTCTTGGCAAAAACATGCACTAAAGCCACAAAGTTTCCGTGTAAAGGGTGCACCCCAGAACTTAACTCCCTTCTAAGAGATTGCATCTGTATTAAATAAATATATCATTAACATTTTATAAACCCTGTGAATGTATCTCATAGAATAAATATCTTTACATTTATTTATCAACTATACCGATTATCCATGAGAGCAAGAAAGTTCTGCAGAAATAGTAATTAAGCACTTGCTACAAAGTTAGAACATATCGGTCCTACCATAATCTTAGATCCATCACCAAAATAAAGGACATGACCACACTTAACTTACAGATGAGATTCCAAAACTAACACACATCCACATGTCAGGTTGCTTAATAGTACCTGTAACTATTCTGTCATTTCTTTTAAATTTGTCCATTTAGCATTTGATTAAAAAAATGGTTAGGGGTATTCACTAGAGGAAATGCACACCCAAGGTGATCCTAAGATTTGAATATTTTCACAGACCAAAACCAACAAAAGTAAACTATCATGGGATGAAAGGTCGGTAAGACAAAGTTCGGAAATGCCGGCGCTCGAGCGCTCGACGTGCGCACGCGTGTCGAGCGCCTCGCGCAGCCGCCGCCCACGCCCCCACCACGTGTCCCCACAACGCACGCCCGTTGTAACAGACGCCCGGATATAACGGAAACACCCTATAAGGATATCGTTTCATTTTTCGTTACACTAATAATATTTCAGCTAGTGCATTCATGATGTTTCATTATGTATGGATCAAAAGTTGCAGTGGATTTTTGATATAGTTCAATAATTTCATCTTAATGGACACGTGGGTTGTTGATGTACACGGGGATTAAGTGTTGTAATGGCTTCAAATCGTTTGTTGCATACATTGAACTAAATTGTTTCATCTAGCGATCTTATCGTGTTTCACTTCTTTTAAGAATTGAAACATTCTTTCACTATTTATTGAAACACATTGTTCTTATAAGAAACAGCGTCCAATTTTTGGAAACCGTTGTTTCATACGTTGTAGTAAAATGTTTCATGAGGTGGTTTGTTGTCTTCCAGCTATTTAAAAGAATAAAACATTTTCGATCTATTTCCTGAAATAATTTCGATGTACTTAGCGAAACAACGCCAGATTTTTGAAGAAAAAAAAATTTTGGGCACCCAATTTGTGGGCTCGTCCCATAAACTTGGCCAATAATTGCCAAAAGTTCGATTCCGCATCACCCAGCACAGGCACAGAAAGTGGACACTCACATTCCACATTTCATCGAACATACCGACTACTCTAGTCGCAATGTGCATTGAAAATTCGAGAGGGGAGTGCACATACGGGTGAAAGCATAGCGGCGACCATGTCGTAGACGGTGCCCGCGACACCGGTGAAACCTGCAGCTCGCGCGCGCTCCTCGTACTGCTGCAGGTAGGCCAGGCGCGGGCCCTTCTCCACCACCCCCGCGACTGCCGAGCGGTCGCCTGCCCCACCCTCGGACCGCCGGCGCCGCTCGGCGAGAGAGAACGCGCGCGTGCTGGAGGAGGAGGAGGAGGTGGTGGTGGCGCGGGGGCAGCGTGCGGCGCCGGTGAGGGGAAAAACGGAGGAGGCGGAGGTGGAGGCGGAGGTGGAGGGGGTGGCCATCGTGGGCTCGTGGCCGGGGTTCTCCGGAAATGGGAGCAAAAGAGGGGTTTTTGGATAAGGATCTCGGCTTTTGAGTTTTGACGAGAAAATCAAAGCGCGTGTGGTTGGAATTTAGGGGGATTTTATTGGAATTAAATTAATTTCATTTTTTTGAAAAAAAAAATTGGGGTTTGAAAGAAGCCCTACTATTGAGCACTTTACAATGATATCTCCCTTTTTGTCTTTTTTACTTATGATGATTTTAAACACATTTTAATATGTTCTTCATATCTTTCTTCTTTTTTATATAGAAAATATGTACTCCACATCTAAGGGTGTGAAAAGAGTATGATACAAATACCCTGTCCAAACTCGAAATTTTTTCGTTGTTTAAACCTTCTATTAAGTAATTTTAAAAACAAACCGTCCCAATATTTTATTTAGCTTGGTAAAAAAGACTTAGTTTTGAAAAATAAGTTTAGAGGATTTGTTATTAGAATTACTTAACAAAAAAATTAAATAATAAAAAAATGATTCAAGCTTTAGGCTATCTCTAAAGTAGATGGTGTTATAGATGTTGCAATATACTCCCTCCGTCTCATAATATAAAGAATTTTGAGTGGACGTGACACATTCTACTACAATGAATCTAGATATACAGTCCAAATTAATTGTATTAGCATGTATCACGGAGAGAGTATCCACTTTCTCTCTCTTTTAAGATACACTTTGCATCTGTAGCTTGTGTTGAATTTTCTTTTACATATATGCATGTCTGCAAATTCTTGGACGTAATTGAGGTGACACAAAACTTATGAAGATGTTGCAGAATATAAAAAAAATTCATCAGTCTTCTGGTACATGATAACAAAACTGTGCCAATACACAGTTATGTAAGGCAAACTGAGAGATATGGTACAATTCAGTTCACTTAGAGGAGTCAATAACATCTAAAGCTTCATAATGAGAAAAATGAGCGATACATCCCAAGAGAGATAAATGTGACGCCAAAGTCCGATGGGTCACATCAGCATGAGGAAACTTGACTAACTAAAATATAGTGATAATCAGAAATTTTAACTTGATGTATATGTGCAGGTATTGCAGACCACCTATATTAGGAACTCTTTTGAATGGACAACTTTGGAATTATGTACTTAACTTTACATAATTCTATTATGTACTTAACATTCTATTACTCAAACCATTGCAATATCAAAGCAGTCTTAGATTGCAAGAGAAGTTCAGCAACATCTTTTTCCAAATGACATTTACCAATAAAACAACTAATTCTTATAGCAAATCCAAAATACAAAATTCATAAAATCTAAAACAATTAAAGTTAAAGGAGTTATTGCAATAATTAAGATACATTTACCCTTTTCTGAAACTAAACATGGTAATTGTGCTACCAGTGCTACACATCAGCGTGTGGAGTTCCAAACTATTGTTTATTCGCTGGGAATTGTAGTCAGAGGAGTACTTGCAAGAATTAAGAGAAATTTTACCCCTTATGAAACTGCACATGAGCACTAAATGGTACCAGTGCTGCACATCAGCTAGTACATGGAGTCTGAAATTATTTGCTTTGTTCCTATGGGACTTGACTAAAATTGAGAAGCTTCAGAACTCATACAAAACTTTCAACGCTATATTCGTCCAATGAATTAAATTGGGACATGAAACTTCAAAATTAAGGGAAAATCTGATACATTATATCAAGAAAATCTAAGGTTTGGGCCTTGAATAACTTAGGTTGTGTTTGGTTGGAGGGATATCCCGGGATGGGATGGGATCATCCCATTTTTAGATGTGTTTGGTTGAGAGGCTAGAAGGGATGGGATGATTCCAAAAGGGAATATTCCTTCAATATTCGGTACCGCTCCATCCGGGAAAATTTGGCGGACCGCACCATCCCACTTCCTCGCCCGTGCTCGCGCAGTAATCACTCGCGTCCCACTGCATATTTTCACCGCTCCCTTTTTTTTCCGTTCGCTCTTTTCTCCTCCTCACGATAACCTCTAGGGTTAGGGTTAGTGGCGGCGGCGGAAGCGCACAAGGCGGCGGCGCGAGCTGGGGGCGAGGCGGCGCCTCACGAGCAGGGCGAGGCGGCGGCGTGGCCTGAGGCGACACAGCGGCGCGCGACCAGGGCAGCGCGGCGGAGCGCGAGCAGGGCGACGCGGCGGCGCGAGGAGGGCGACGCGGCGGCGCGAGGAGGGCCAGGCGGCGGCGCGAGGAGGGCGAGGTGGCGACGCGAGGAGGGCAAGGCGGCGACGCGAGCTGAGGCGAGCCGGCGGCGCGAGGAGGGCGAGGCGGCTGCGCGAGCTGGGGCTAGCCGGCGGCGCGAGAAGGCCTCATCCTCTCCATCCCTACCTAGAAACTGCAGAGCTCGGTTTCCATTGTTCAAAGTAAAAAAATCCTCATCCTCTCCATCCCTACACTGAATGGGGATTTCGTTTACAGATCTGTGCATGTCTGTTGTTCAAGAATGTTGTAGTATAATTAGTTCAACAATGTTATTTTTTTTTGGGTAAACTTATTGACAGTAGATGATGGTCATGTGTTATTTTTGTTGTTGTATTGTAGATGGATAAGAGGACCAAGCTTTTAGTTTGTATTGCTGCTACAAATTTATTGTTATCAATGATGGCCATGATTATTCGGTCTAGAAAAAGAACGAGAGGTTCAAGGAGAGAAGGTATTAGATATGGCCCAATGGTTGAAAGGGATAGGATGAGAATTGAGTATCTAGAAACGAAAATTTGGAGGAATGATACAACTTGTATCGATATGCTTAGACTTAGAAGGGGAAGTTTTTTTTCATTTTTGTAAGCTGTTTAGGGATCGTGGTTTACTTGAAGATACCATCCACATGTGTATTGAGGAACAAGTTGCTATGTTTCTGCATACGGTGGGGCATAACCTTAGAAATAGGTTAGTCCGCACTAATTATGATAGGTCTGGAGAAACAGTAAGTCGTTATTTCAACAAAGTCCTTCATGCAATTGGTGAGCTACGAGATGAACTTATCAGACCCCCCTCATTGGACACTCCAACTAAAATAGCAGGGAATCCTAGATGGGATCCTTACTTTAAGGTGTGAGATTCATCCCTATCTCATTTTATATTTATGTGAGCATTGATATATTGTCCCTAGTTTTTAATGTTGTTGAACACAAAATAGGATTGTATTGGAGCTATTGATGGCACACATATTAGAGCCTCTGTTCGTAAGAATATGGAATCTTCTTTTCGTGGTAAGAAGTCCCATGCCACTCAAAATGTAATGGCGGCCGTAGATTTTGATCTTCGGTTTACTTATGTCCTGGCTGGTTGGGAGGGGACAGCACATGATGAAGAAAATGATGGTCCTGCCACTACTGATGATCGTGCGGAGGCATCATCTGCAAGTAAGCCAAAGAAAGCAAAAACACAAGAGAATGAAGATGACGGGCTGATTGGTGCATTCACTAGTGTTGGTGACAAGCTTGCCTCTGCTATACTAAAGGTCGCCGAGCCGGATAATAAGCTTCTAGAAGGTTTATTTGACACATTGAAAACCCTTCCTGGTTTTGAGGAGGTCCATAGATCATTTTACTATGCTCATTTGGTTGCTAACCCTCACATTGCTAGAGCTTTCAATGGACTTCCATTTGAAAACAAGATGCATTGGTTTGCTATGTTCATTAGTGAAAAGTTCCCTGGATCAACATAGGCTTCTTGGATGAGTTGGATAGTTCTTTTGGTGTTATGTGTTGTTGATTGGCTTATTTACCTATTATGTAAGACTTTAAACTGCCAATATGTAGGCAGAGAACTTACTAGTACGAGTAAGACTTCAAATTGCTATCATGTGCAAGAATTAAATGTGCTATTATGTGTAAGACCTTCAGTTGCTAATATATGTAAGACTAAAATATGAACCTTATTATGTGTGGCTTGTATTATATGTGCACTATGAACCTTCTGCTACTGCAGCAATTAGTATGGACATACATGAAGTTTTATAAAAAAAATTTAATTACTTATGGAGCTATATTGTTTGTGAACAAACGGAATTCACAGTGGTCATTTTCAAATAGTGTGGTGTTCATGACAAGTATTATTTTGCACTGTATGGTGTTCTTGGGGTAACCTCACTAATTAATATCAATAGGTAACCCTATCAAGTATCCCACCTTCATCCCTCCATCCAAACAATGTATAGGATTATTCCATCCCATTATATCCCTCAAACCAAACAAAAAACAGGGTTCGTTCCATCCCTGTAACCAAACAAAAAACAGGATCATCCCATTCCAAAAAAACAGGGATGGACCTAACCCATCCCACTTTGTCCCCAAACCAAACACTACCTTAGACATGGCATCATGTGCCGGCGCCTGTTGCCATAGCTGAGGCCAGTGTTAAGAAATCCTTTCCTGGAGGGCGCACCTTTGATGAAGTCATCGCCGGTTGACATCGCTGAAGCAAAAGTGCCATATACCTTACTAAAGATCAGATGTTTCAAGAGAGGACAAAACACATTGATATCAAGTATTATTATATTCACGATATAGTCGCGTAAGGTAAGCTAAAGGTATGCAAGATAAGTACTCGTGATAATCCTGCTGATATGATGACAAAGCCTGTTCCTGTTGCTAAGATTGAGCATTGCTCAAGCTTAGTTAGTACAGGGGTATAGCCCAAGAGGCTATTTGGATCGAAAGTGTTTTTTGTCTTTGTTGTGTTCAGGGTGAATGATTGATTCATGCTATAAGAAGGAATTCGTCGCAAGGTAGAGTTTGTTGAGTTGTGATCCAAATTCATTTGCATTCAAGATATTTTGCTGGCTGCCGCCCGTGATTTTTTCTCTCCTGCTTTGAGAGAGTTTTTCACATTAAATCTTGTGTCTTCTGTGATTGATATATTGTTCTTTTATCGTTTGTTTGCCTACCGTTTTCTAACACTAACTAGGAATAGTTAAAGACAAGGCAATGATCACAGAATCAAAATTACATTTGAAGATCTCATTCAATATTGACTCAATCCCAATTCACATCAACTTATCATCTCAATTCTACAAAAATGCTCTCTTGCTGTCAACAAGGATGCTCTCAAAAAAAATCTCACAATAATGCACTGTTTTCTCTGGTCAAATTGCTTATTTCCTGTTGCATCTTGTATGACAGCACCTAGGTGTCTAGGTTTAATTCTTCCATGACAAGTTGACCTCGAAGGAGTCATGGGAGTCATTTTCGTCGATGCGGACCGTGACCTCCACGCCGGAGCGCAGCGGAGGCTCCCGCACGAGGGAGGACGCTGAGGCGGGGTCGGGGACAAGGAAGAGGACGGCGATGGAAGGGGCTTCGTCGGGGAGGCGTGAGCTGTGGCCGTGTGGCGGCGACGGCAGCAAAGGTCTCCCCTGCCCCACTTGTCTCGCCACCCGGCGGCACGGCCGGCTGCGGCTCCGTAGTGGCGTCGATGGGAAGATGTGGGCCGAATTTTTTTTGTGGTGGGCCGAGCCTGTCCGCTGTGTGCGCTTGGCTCCGTCGGATGTGAACGAACGGATGAGCGCTGACGGACATCCCTCTGACGCAATATACTGTTGGAACTACCAAATGAGTATATACTGACTTATCTTAGAATTAGTATATACTGATATTTTTTAAAACGAGTGTATACTAACTTATCTTGGAATGAGTATATACTGATTTTTGTCTGAGTGGATATATACTGATATTTCTTCAAGAGCTGAGCTATACTGATTTCTTCGAGTAATCAGTATGTACTGATTGATGAACTACTCCATCCATTCCATAATGTAATTTATTTTAACATTATCTATATGCATATAGATGTTAATGAATCTAAACATAGACATATGTTTAGATTCATTAACATCTATATGAATGTGGATAGTACTATAATGACTTACATTATTAAACGGAGGAAGTAAGATATACTGATTTCGACTTAGAATGTAAGGGTACAACTTTTCTTTTTGCCATTACATACCACAAATCTAGGTTCATACTTTTCTATCGGTACATACTACAAATTAATCCATGTTCATAGTCATTTTTAGTCGTATATACTACATTTCTCAATGCAGCAGTATATAGGAGTACTATTTTTAAGTACTTTTAATACATATATTTTTCTCCAAAAGAGGCAGTATATATGGGGCCTGTTCACTTTAATGCCAAAAAAATCTTACAGGATTTTGATAAAATTTTGGTAACTTGCCAAATTTTTTGGTAAAAAACCTTGCAGCATAGTTGCCAAAATTTTGGTAACTTGCCAAATTTTTTGCAAGATTTCTTATATAGTTACCAAAATTTGGTAGCAAACTAAATGTAGCCACTTCTTTGGCAACTTTACCAAAATTTGGTAAGATTGAAAATGGCATCAAAGTGAACAGGCCCATAGTCTTGTACTTAGTATATGCAACTGACTTTACATATCATAGATAAAAATTGGCAGTATATAACCCAAAAAAAGAGCAGTGCATACTGTAGAAGAACAAGCAGTATGTAATCATACTGAGTACTCGATCAAGGTATCATCGGTTTGGCAGCACGAAGATGAATAATCATGTGCCATATATATACTGCCATTTAGTAGCAGAAATGGGAACTCGATCTAGCAGAAAAGAATGAGGAACGGCATGGCATGCAACATTCATCACCGACTGCTGGAATCGAGCCAACGGAACAAGGATAAGGAATAAGTTCATATGAGGTCCCTTAACTTGTCAACGAATCCGATTTTTTTTAAACAACACGCACAAGGCAGTGCGACGTTTCGTATTGATAGAGTAGAAAAAAAATTACAAGTCCATAGCCCTGGAGGCTATAGCCAGGAAAAGAAAAAAACAACAGCCACACCACGCATCTACGACCGAACCCTCCATTGAGGAACAAACAATCAGAACACGATCCGAAAGAGAGGTACTTCTAAACGACGCCTTCAAGAAGAGTACGACACCGAGTGCCGCCGCCGCCCGTCCTGGGGAGCCAGGACGTGGTTTTCACCTGAAGACCTCCATCGGCAGGAAAGTTTACTCAAACAACGCCTCAAGGGGAGAGCGGCGCCCATAAGCGTCGCCGTTGTTGGCCCAGAGGGCTGGCCTTTCGCCCGCAAACTTTTCCCGCATCGAGATTGCTTGCAAAACCGTGGCCACCACCAAACCGCACACCTTCGATGCATGGCCACCGCGCCAGCACCTCGTCGCCGGCCGACCATCAAGCAAGCGCTCGACATCCAGCAAGCTTCCATTCTATCCACGCAGTTGGGTTGGCGAGGGAGAGGGTGAGAGAGAAGTCCCCTCTCCCCCCCTCCCCCCCGCGCACAAGCCCGCCCAACGTGGCCATCTTGTGGTGGCCAGCCAACCACCGCAAGAGGACAAATGTCTAGAACGGAGCCCGTCGCAGGTCTGCAACACCCACCTCACGGCTTCACCGTCGCCGCCGCCTCACCATAGGGCCCCCTGTTGCCACAGACCGTGCCGAAGCAGCCAGTCCCGCCTCTGCTGCCCTCACCAGGGCACGCGCCGCCGCCTTCCACCGACCGCCCGCGCCTCCACCAACCGCCATCGCCGCCGCCGCAGTCGGGGAGGCTAGATCTGCCGCCTGGGGTGTGGATCCACTGCACTGCCGATGCCAGTCGCGCCTCAGCAGCGCGCCGGCCGCCGGGCGCGCCTCTCCACTCTGGACATCGCCGTCCGCCCGCCGTCGCCATCGCTGGCCGTACCTCGCCGTGCTGCACGGCCTCCCACCGTCGCTGACCGTCCCCCACTGCTGCCGGCCGCCACTCCGCACCCATTGCCGCCGGCTCGGTAGCGTCTTGGCCAGATCCGGCCCGAGGAGGCCGGATCCCGCCATGTGGGGGCCGGATCTTTGGCCGCCCTCGCCGGGGTGCGCCGCCGCCGCCTCGATGGGTCGTCGCGCCGCCCGTGCCTCCACCGACCGTAGTCACCGCCACCGCCGTCGGGGAGGCCAGAACCGCCGTCTGGGGGGTGGATCGACCGCGCCGACCGCCGGATCCGCCGCGCCGACTAGCCGACCGCCGCCTTGTCACGCCCCGAACTAGCCCCGAGCGGGACTAGCCCGTGACGCTCCAAATTAACCTGTTAATCGATACCAGTCCCAGGAAACAGTGCTGGTATCACAGGAAGACAGAATATCACAGCAACAGAGGTCTCTTTATTATAGAGTAGGAGTACAGTCATGTTGGGCTGCGGACAGATCCCGAGCTCACAACTGCATTACAAAAGGGAAGCGGAAGCCAAGACTTAGACCAAACATCACAGGCGCGACTTGGGAACTAGGCCGAAACCCTAAAACTCATCGTAGCCGACTTGCTCCTGGAAGAACTCCTCGTCAGCGGGATCCACTTCATCTTCTTCAGCAACTGGGGAGGATTATTTATATAGAGCAAGGGTGAGTACAGGAGTACTCAGCAAGCCATGAGAAATAAATGTTTAATGCAGGCTTCAACGGGAAGGCTGTTGTTTTTTTTGCAATAGGTTTTATTTAAACTCTTTTCTGAAACAACTAAGTGAGTGCTTCTCAAACAACACGGATGGGACAGTGCGTCTCGTCCGGTCGGAGTATGTGCAAGGTATCAGTCTTTTGAATTGTTCAAGGTTGGCACCCGGCCAACAGCTTTCAAACAGCCACCCGGGCCTGGCTGATCCCATCAGCCGCAGATTTTCCAAACATCGAACCCAAACCACGTCAGCAAATTTCACAAAGCAGTAGTCAAACAAAACT